GCGCCGCGTCCTTAACCTCTAGATCACCAGGGGCTCCCAGGGAGACGTAATACGAAAAGGAGCTGTAGCTCTCTGTGTACCCATTAAAGAATTTTCTTCTTACCTTTGCTTCCTCCCAGAGTGGCAAGTCGAAAAGCTTCTTCAAGAGTTAGTCCTGTTTCATTGACTTTATTGATCTGAAGGCTATTTGATGCCATCATTGCTTTTCTGATAGCATCAAGCATAGAAGCTGAATATCCACCAGCAACATCTAGAAGGGATCAGACTCTTAGAAACAAGCTTTGGGCATAATTCTCTATGTTAAATTTCTTTTGAAAGTTACAAAGAGACATATTGTGGTAAACACAGCAAGTTTTACCACTAAGCACTGCCTCTGAACGCATAATTCCCAATAAAGGTGTTCTCACACACAGTGAGGTGAACACAACACAAAATCAGAAACCTGAGCTCTGTTTACTCTCAAAACAGCAACAAAACTCTTTGTTAATTTTTTTTTCTTTTGAAACACTTCTGGACTAGCCCTAGATTTCAGTACTCTACACTTCCTTACTCTAGAACTAGTGGGGGAAAAAAAGTAGGACCGCAAGCTGGAGACATGCTGACTTCTAAATATGAATAGGCAGGCATGTCTTTGTATCTCCCAATGGTTTCCAAAATAAACCATTTTCATAGCAAACTACTAACCTGTGCCAAGACCAAGCTTCACATTGTGTTCCAGGACCTTTCGCACATTTAAGACACCGCTGCGCAACCTGGATTTTAAGAAGAAATATGTTCAAGAAAAGTAGGGCCACAGAGCAACTTTGTGTCAAAGGCTCTCAGAACGTGTGCAATAGAATTGGTTTATTATTTATTCTGGCTGGATACCATTATTTCTGCTTAATATAAAGACTATATAGTCCAGTTCCCAAAACATAAGCATAGTTTGGGGGGAAGGGAGATGGCCTGGATCTGCCATTGGTAGAAAAATAAAAAAAACCTGTTTTCTCTAAATAAATATTCATACAGATATAAATATAGATATAGTGATTAGACTGAAAAATCACAAGTCAGGCCAGAGCACACTACACAGAAGTGGATCATAATGGTCATGTTCAGTCCAATATGTCATTTATAGTGGAGTGGGATATCTCATTAACAGTCTTTCAGTGGTAATGTGGACTCAAGGTACTACATGACCAACAATTTTACCCAATTATACACTTTTTTTTTTTTCTTTTTACTTACGAAAAGTTAGAATTGGGGCAATGTGAAATTGCAGCTCCACGAAGACTAAAAAGTTTCAGCTCTTCTTCAGAAAGATAACAGGCATGAGCCATCACTGTCTAAAGAAAAAGAAAATCACCAGTTTACTCAATATTGCATTTACTTCACTGGCTGTGCTTTTTGCTGCACTGCTTTCAATAGCCAAAAAGACACGTTACCATCAAGTAAAATTAATGTACTTCTTGAATGAAGCTCTTAAAATTCACCAGTGTAAATTGGTGTTTATCTTCAATATGCCTGAGATATTCCCTCAGCTTTTTTCATTTAGAAGATAGGATGCTGACTGTTTCAGTGGCTGCTGTGACCTAAGAGCTTCAAGAAGCAAAAGCAAGAATTCCCCAGTTGTCCTGGCACTGCAGTAACCTTATGATTTATATTTTGTGTCTAACACAGGGATTTTCAGATACAATGGAAGAGGTATGTACTCTTAGCATGTTTCTTATTGGCTCCCTAGAGGTCTGTGCTGGCTATATATATATATATATATATATATACACACACACATATATGAAATATTCTTTAAGTAAAATAATGTAATTTTTTATGCAGCTTTTAATTCTTAGCCTACATAGCTGACTTTAAGTTCACTAGCAGTATATACAAAACACAGTAAAGGATAGTTTAATTTAATAGTACATAAACCAGTTATTCCCAGACAAATCTAATTGGCATTACCTCATATACCAAATGCCCACTGAAAGAGAAGAACAAGAGCTCTGTCATATCTTGCAATCTGCTGATAAAAATGAGAATGGCACAGAGACTGTTTCCACTCAGCATCTCCTAATAGCACTGTACCCTTGCTATCTCTGCTCATCAAGATCAATGCAGCTGAAAACGCAAGGACAGCCACGTCTTCAGTTAAGGACATACATATGGTAGTTGCTGAAGCATCTCTGCTGATCTCTACTGTTCTTTAAAAAGAAGGAAATATTTCGGCAACAGATCAAAAAAACCCCATGCTTTTAAAACACTAAAAATAGATTTGATGTCTTAGTTTTGGTGGTTGGACAGCAGAGAATGTCTGAGGTTCTGTTATATTTGTGTTGAATAGAAAACTTTCCCAAACAGCCAGAAGCCTGACTCCAGAAAGCACCAGAACCCATGATTTTTAGTTAACATTTTCACTTCTGTGCATATAAAAGTCTGACAGAATTAAGAACTATGTTTCTGCAGCACTAGTACTCTCTTTAGGACACTAACTGACACATCAAATCCACATGCATAGGACTGTGCTAGAAAACAAAGGTTAGTACCGTGTACATACTTCAGTAGTCCATACTGATTTCTCAAGTAAAAAGGACAGTAAACAAGTAATTTATTGGGGTACAATTTCAAACACAGAAATGGCAGTTCAATACCTAATTCCCAGGGACTTTCCAGATGCCCTTTGTGCCTCTGAAAATTCTCCCCTAAATTTTTAAATCAACTTGACTGATATTTATGCATTCTGACTGTAGTTGAGCTGTTCATATTCACTTCTGCATGGGCTCTCCACTATCTAATAAGGTGTGCCCTGGCACTCCAACCTGTAATTACTTGGTTGGTATCAGATCTGCTTACATTTATCTTAGCAGCACGAAGCATTAATAATTTCAACTCTTCAGGCCACTGTGTCTCCCAATGCTGGGCAAAATCAGCTAATGAAATGAGAGTGCTTCTGGATAATTAGAGCGGTAATGTGTACTTGTCTGCATGTGAGGTTGAGACTCAGAACACAACAGGGCAGGCTGCTTTCCCTTAGGAAATTGACAAAAAACAAAGTTGGTCCTACCATAACACCACAGAAGAAATCTTCAGGCAAACCAGTGTGCAAGGACGTTGTAATATAAGTGGGTACTGTCCAAGAATTACCAGCTCCTACAATACCAGCTCCTTCTAATCTCACTGCCTTAATTCTCGTTGGAGCCCTTGGAAAATGGACCAGGGACCATAAAATATGTTTACTGTTCATCTCCCCTAAAATGTTTACGAAAACTGTGGGCTTGTCTAAAGTTCTAATACCTCAACAGAGAACATAAAACAAATCCATACTTTACCCGAATGTCTCTGACCTTGACAAAACAATTTTTCAGGTAAATGCAATAAACTGTCATTTTCTCTATGTGGATTAATCTAAGCTGTGTTGTGGAAGTTTTTATGAAGCTACCTTGCTGGTTAGCAGCTTGTTTTTATCATACAAATCAGTGTAATTCTTGTAGGCAGGAAACATGTTCTCCACAAGTTTGACTTCTTCTTCATTCTCACTTATGTGACTCTGCAATAAGAAAATACACAGCAGTGAAAGCTTTAAATAGCATTGAACTTCACACTACAACCTTCTGAGCAATCTACTGGTGCTAATTGCACACTGATAAAAATTAGTATCTGTAAAGCTACAGTTAGATCTAATCCTTAGGTTTCTCTTTTAATCAGAGAGATCCCTGGGACCCAGAGGAGCAGCTCCATTTGTTCCTCTAAAAGTGATATGGGATGGTATGCATGTCCATCACAGTAGTGTGGTGACATAATGGCCAATTTAGGGTTTGAAAAATGTCAAAACAGTAGATAAAATAAAACATGATATAATTGTGAGGTAAAAGAGAGAACCAGTCTACAACAGAATGGATCCTGAGATCAGGGTAGCTGATAGGTAGCTGCTCCATCTATCTTCAGATGAGCTGATTAATTACTGGCCTCAAATAAAAATCTGACCTTTCTGTACTCCCATTGGGGCATATATTTTCAAAATTTCCACTTTGAAATGAAAAAAAATCTACATATAGCATAGCTTTAAAACAGTATATGCTTAGAACTGTGTAACAAAAAAACAAAACAAAACAAAAATTTTAACACACCTGCAAGCTTTAAAATATGGCTTTTTTTAAACACAGAAACTTTATCACATTAGAAATCTTACTACTGTATTAAAAATATTATGCAAAATACAAAGATGAGTAATACTTTTACCTACTGAAATCTGCTCTGTAGAGAAACGATGGAAGGCAGGGGGACAGCCTTGACTAGAGAGAGCAACCTTCAGCAATTGAAGGGTTGCTCTACCCTTTGGTACAGGGTGCCAGTCTCCCTGTGTGACCATGCACTGGGACTTGCTGAATTGTGCATCCTCCCAGCTATGAGCTTTCTCAATTCCTGTACAAGTTACAGTGTTCTCACAGAGTACCACTTGTAATTTCAGAGGGATTAAAAAGAAACTCCAAGGTGTAGAGGCTTTATTGTTTTCTGAAATCATGAAAACTCCTCGACCAGTGTGCTGTGTGTCCAAACTATTGAAATTGTATACAGAACTCTCAGAGCTTACCTGCACATGGAGATCACGAGCCTGTGCTAAATCTCCAAGTGCACACAGCAAGTCCTCTGTGCAGGAAGGGCCAAAGCGGGGGGTTATTACAGGTTGTACTCTTGGATACTGAAAATATTAAAAAGACAGGCTTTGTATTCTACACACACAAGCACACACACACACACACATATATGTCAGCAACCACAGTTAAGACTAGCTTTACACGGCAATTACATTTTGTCTTCATTGCTTATTGCATACTACATCCTTGCCAACTCAGTTTAAGCTGTGTAGTTATTTCCTTACTTTTATTAGACATTTCATCACAGAAATAGAGATTCGAAGTGTGTATGTGTGTGTGTGGGGGGGGTGTTTATAACAATTTTAATGAACTTTATTAAAGAATTTATTTTAATTAGAACTCTTTCACCAAGTCACTGAGATTTTACCAGTCTTCAGGAGCACCAGATACTTTTTCATATTTGGTGACAGTCCTATATGCACTACCAGAAATAAGTCAGATGAATGACCAGACATTTTTCTGAGTTCTTCTTCTGTGACTGTCAAAGATGTAATGGTGCAAAACTGTAGGCTTCTGTAAAACCAACCATTTTCTTGCTTAATCATTTCTACTCATAATAACAACAAACTATCCCTATACTACCTAGATAGGAAGAATAATGGTAGAATCAGATATGCTACACAGTAGGAAACAGTGGAGAAAACACTAAGAGTAGAGATACAGAGGTTTACACCTCGCATGTTTAGATCAAAATTTTCATAAAAAACAGACAACAGCATTTCAATTCTGCCTTCAGTCACAGGAGAGAGTTGTGCAGAAGTCAGCATATGATATTTAGGATTGAAGTTTCCTATATATCTCCCAGATACAAGACACTCAAGATCTTGCAGATTAGCCCACTTATTTTGCTAAAATATATGATTTAGGCATCAAACTCAAGGCATCTGCTCTTGAATATTTTAAAATACAACGTCAAAAGAGCCATTGAAAACTAAAGACTGGTAGGAAAATACCCCAGCTTGTAATATTAAGAGAGTAAACTTCTATGTTTACTTCAGAAGTGTAAACATGAATTTCTTTAGAAACACAGTGTAAGATACGTGCTGACCAAAAACACTAATTTTATAATGGATTACTAACTGTACTGAAAAAACACTGATTTCTGCTGGTGAGAATTTCTTTAATTTGTCTACTTATATACTAGAGAGGATCAACTGAATTCCCTCAATAGAGAAACACACAGAATATTACTCTGCTTTGCTCTGACCACAGAAAACCGATTTTACACTGTTACAAGTCCATTTTTCAACAATGTGTCTAGCAGAACATTTTTCAGACTGATGGTATCTCTCTTACAAAAAAAGATGTATATTTTATTGATTTTTCACTAAGACAATAACTTTGGACAGCATGATTAATGATTTCATATATTCACAAAGTATCTTCTGAATACAGAAGTGGATGCAAAGGAGAACTCTACTTACTTTCTTTTCCAGGAGCTCTGTAACAAATCTGAAAAAGGGTAGAAATAAAGTTGCTATAAATCTGGGATCTATGTTATATTATGAAAAATATAGAAAATATATACTTGGATACCCTGTTAAACACTTCAGACGTAGATCAATTTTTCACAAAAAGCTGAACCAGATTTTCAGATGAAATAAAAACAAGCAAAACAATACAGTCAGAATAGTTACACCAAATTATTCTAGTTTTGAATTTGACCCTGAATATGCAGATTATTTTTTTCATTTGCAATAATTACCATTAGACAAGTGGTAATTATTGTGAGTTCTCCCTGAAAACCAAACACATGCTACATTTAAATGAGTTGAAAACATAATTATAAGGTACAGATGCAACATTAGAGAAAGAAAAAAACAAACCATCTCAAATTTGTCTGTCCATGAATTTAAACTGCAGTGTTAAATAAATTCTTTTAAAATCCAATTTTTAAAAGACACAGCAATATTTTATACCTCACAGTAGTTGCAAATGTCCTTGTTCACTTAAAGAACCTTGATATTCTGGAAATTACTATATTAATGTTAGTGTACAGATTATCTACCTTACGGAAAATATAGATTTACTTACTCTGTCAAATAAAAGAAGCTACCTCAGACCTCTACAAGAAACCCAAGCAGTCAATATGGATAATGCAGATGAGCAAATAAAATTTTCTCTTATTTCGGACAGAGGATGTTCTTTGAAATCTCATTATGTTTACTGTATGTAATTTCCAAAAGCCAGATTCAGACGGTTTCTGGACAGGATCTTTGTGAATTTGTATGTCATGGTTTATATTCAGAAAATTGTGCAATTTTGATTACAATAAACATTGTATCAAATTTATCAAGTATCTTCAGATAGAAAAGAAAATAATGCAGGAGGATAGATTCACAGCACTGGAGCTGGTACTAGATCACCAGTTGGAGGTAAAATACCCTAGTTCAACTTCTGCAATAACCAAAGGAGTTTGAGCCCACCATTGCCTACCTTAGAGAACCAAAATGCAATATTAATTCAATATCATCTGCCTCCCCATACTGATTAACCTGATATAATAAAGCATTCACTTGAGCTGAAACTCTAACAGAAGTATAACACTCAGATGATAAGCCAAAACTTCAGTATGGTAGTTTTCATTCTTCTTCACATTCTTTGAACAGTGTGAGCATTGTTTCAAAATTGAAATACCTTTACCAAATATACCCTATACTTTGTTGGTTTATGTACTTCTCTATGAGGAAGGAAGCTCATCTTCAAATCATGGTCTTCTGTAGCAGAAGAACAGACTTGAACATAGATACTCCTCTTTCCAAGTGATTATATCCTAATATTAGTAGCATATGCTGTATTCTGGATTTCAATTCGCTACCTTTTCTTTAAATCCCCTTTGACAGAAAATGATACATTCAAATTTTTACTAGAATTTAGATTTAATATATGAAGCATTTGGAATTGTATCTTATTCCATGCATATGTTTAGTTCTGGGGTTATCTGTAAAGAACTAAAATCAGTGTAGTCCATTTTCTGATAGTGTGACAGATCACATTTCCTAGGTTCTTGAAAAAAAATCAAACAAACAAACAGAAAAACCCGCTAAAACATTGCCCTCTTAAAGACAGAGTTTTTTCATCTTTCTGCAATTGTATTGCTGTGATTTGGTAAGTACTCCAGATCCATGCCAAGAAGCACACTCTTCTCTAATCACTTCTGGAGTACTTGTGCCACACTCTCACCCAAAGCTGCAAAACATTTGTTACTAACACAATCAAAAACGAATGAGTTGGAGGCACAAGACAGGTATTTAAAAGAAAGGGGTTTTGATCATCCTGAAGCTTTTAAAAATACCAGAACTGGGAGTTCTGCTGCTTTCAGGCCCATTTGGCAGCATTTGCACTGTATTATGAAAACTGGGGATTTGTATGAAGGAAAACAAATGTTAGTAGAGTGAAAATGATTAATACTGCACATTTTAAAAGTGTCTTTAAATATAAACACTGTTAGAAACTCATGACTACTTTTGACTTTTCTGTCATGCTTCTAGCATGATTTGCAAAAATAGGATAGCAACTTCACACAAGTGTCATAAAATGTTTATATTCCTCTTAGGTATTTTCTCTTCAGCATGATATTTGAAACCTTTAGATAAGTAAACAAACAGTCCCATGAGAATAGCTGTATGCCTGCTTAACCATTTTCTGAGTAGGGATGCAAAAGACACGAGAAACATAAGACAGCAGGATGTCATACTCCAGTCTTGGGTCTCCTCCACTATGGACCCTGACTTAATTCAATTCTCCCTCATTCACTCAGCTGCATATTAGAGTAGTTTGACTGGTGCTGTGATGGAGAAGAAGAGAACTGCAGCATGTTTTAAAAGGGGTATATGGAAGCTAACTTCCACAACTTGAAAAAAGCCTTATCCTAAGGCTTTGGTAGAAGGAAATAGCTCAGAAGATAATGGTGGCAAAGGAAGTGGCTGCCACCCTACCATCCCACGTCAGGCCACATCACTCCACACACAGCTGTGAAGGGAAAAGAGGAGGCAGAAACCACACATATTCTTTCAAACTCTAGATCTGTGCTTCTCCCTTTCTTTGGAAAAGCCAGAGAGATGCTACTTGGGCTGTGCAGCAACTGAGTATGCAGGAATTGCCAGAACTGTAGAGGACAATGCTGTTGGAAGAAAAAAAACTGTTCCCAATAAATTCACACCTGTAAGTTCTTAGTCAGATTCACATTCACTTTTCTAATGTATGAGAAATTTTATTTCAAAAGGTTAGGCCATCAATTTATTCATTTTACCTTTCCGTCTCTTGGACAGAGTCAGCAGTAATCTCTTTGTATTGTGGCACACTCTCATTCATATCCATGCAGACTTTTCCAACAAATGCTCGTTGACCAAATTTATCTGTTAAGATGCATTAAAATATAAATCTCAGAATTACTGGTTCACGAAACACACTATCAAAGCTTATACTGAGTTACAAAAGCAAGGTCGACCCCACTCATCTTAATTTAAGATGAACAAAATTCATGCTCTTGTCTTATCTCTAAGTTCATAGAATCATAGAATAGATTGGGTTGGAAAAGACCTCCAAGATCATCAAGTCCAACCCCTGATCCAACTCCAATTACTATATCATGGCACTAAGGGCCACATCCAATCTCTGCTTAAAAACCTCCAGGGATGGTGAATCCACCACCTCTCTGGGCAGGCCGTTCCAATGCCTGATTACCCTCTCTGTGAAGAATTTCTTCCTAACATCTAACCTAAACCTCCCCTGGCAGAGCTTGAGCCCATGTCCCCTTGTCCTATTGTTGGTTGCCTGGGAGAAGAGACCAACCCCCACCTGGCTATAACCTCCCTTCAGGTAGTTGAAGAGAGTGATGAGGTCACCTCTA